GCCCGGCTAAGAAAAGAAGTTTAAATTCTGAATACTTAATTACCCCATTTGCGGCCCAGAAAGTGTCAACTAATAGTAGTCCAAGGAGGCCAGGTGCGGTGGCTCAGGCCTGTAATCTCAGCACTTTGGGAGGCCAAGGTGGGCAGATAGCTTGAGCCCAGGAGTTTGAGAGCAGCCTGAGCAACATAGTGAAACCCTGTCTCTACAAAAAAATACAAAAATTTATCCGGGCTTGGTGGCACATGCCTGTAATCTCAGCTACTCAGGAGGCTGAGGCAGGAGAATCGCTTGAACCTGGGAGGCGGAGGTTGCAGTGAACTGAGATCACACCATTACACTCCACCCTGGGCAACAAGAGCAAAACTCCGTCTCAAAGAATAAAAAATAAAAATAAAAAAATAAAGGCACCTGCCATCACGCCCAGCTAATTTTTGTATTTTTAGTAGAGACAGGGTTTCACCATGATGTCCAGGCTGGTCTCAAACTCCTGACCTCATGATCTGCCCGCCTCAGCCTCCCAAAGTGTTGGGATTACAGCTGTGATCCACTGCACTCAGCAAAACCCAGACTTCTTACCAACCTCTGAGGCCTGTGTGATCTGGTCCTGGCTGCCCCTCCATCATTCCGTCTCTCCCTTAATCCACTCAAACCATATGGGTTCCTTGCTGCTCCTGGATCCTGGTGTAACTTCTTCCTGCCCAAGGGCCTTTGTAGTTGCTCTTCACTCTGCCTGGAATGTTCTGCCCCTAGTATTTCCTTTCTGAGTCCTACATTGGGTTCAGCTTGCTGGTCCCTTCCTCTGAGAGACTTTCCTTGGCCTTCAGTTTAAAGTAGCCATGCTACTTCTAAATTCCTCTCCAGTCTTCTTGTAGTTTTGTCATAGCAACAACCTGTACCTGGAATTTTCTTTTTGTTTGTTTACTTGTTTTTGTCTGTCTCTTCTATTAGAATATAAACCCCATGATTATAGGGAGTTCGGCTTGTTCATCATTGTATCTCCAGTGTCTGCAGCTGTTCTTTGCAGGTAGTAAACATTCAGTGAATAGTTTTTGAATAAATGATTAAACAAATGAAGAAAACCTAAGACATGAAAAAACTGAGGCCCAGAGAAGAGAAGCTAATGAGAATTAATAGTGTTCTTTCATCCTACTTTTGAATGCTTATTAAGTAACAAGCACTGTATTCAGTGATTTACATGCATTATTTTTGCCACTTATTCTTAACTGTTATAATGAGTTGTTTGGAACATCATTTTTTATATATACCACTGTACCACTTAGAAAAAGAGTACCACTGGACCAACTCTTATTTTTTATTGGAACCTTGCTCTGTTTTACAAAGAGTTGGAAGCAACTTAGGAAAATTCATACAACCAAAAGGATAATGTAGCTAAGGGAGTCAGGTGAAAGGAAAATATGGGTAAGAAGACAAGAGCCAAAACTAAAATTAGTTCACACAAATGTATGTTACAAAAGTCCTTTGAACTGAGCAGTTTTTCTGCCATTCTTTATAACTAAATATTGCCCAGATTCATTTAAAATGATGGTTTTTTAAAAATCTAATTACAGGCCGGGCGTGGTGGTTCACACCTGTAACCCCAGCACTTTGGGAGGCCAAGGCAGGCAGATCACAAGGTCAGGAGATCGAGACCATCTTGACCAACATGGTAAAACTCTGTCTCTACTGAAATACAAAAAATTAGCCGGGCGTGGTGGCATGTGCCTGTAATCCCAGCTACTCAGGAGGCTGAGGCAGGAGAATCGCTTGAACCCAGGAGGCGGAGGTTTCAGTGAGCTGAGATCGCGCCACTGCACTCCAGCCTGGCAATAGAGCAAGACTCCATCTCCAAAAAAAAAAAAAATGTAATTACATAGATGACCTTGGGATTGTCCCAAACTGCACATCATAGTTTAGGATTTGCTGGCTCCCTTCCTGCCTCATCAGCTGGTCTCCTGGATTGAGGCAGCGTGATCTCCTGTTTTTGCCAAAGGGCCTGGTCCAGCGGGGAGGAGCCTAGACCCCTCTCCAGTCCTCTCGGGACCTAGCTAACTTTGTTTCAAGGAGTCTTTTCCGTTGAAGGTTTATTAATTGAGATATTGCCATTGGAAGCCCAGTTCTGCTCTCAAGATACTTCCAATTGAATTAGAGAGAAAAGACATAATATACATGAAAAGAGATCTTGTAAAAGCCAACAATAAATGCTGAATGAGGGAAGGACTCCACAGAAGAGGTGAGGTTTGCACCGAGCCTTACCACAAAGCAGGGAACAGAGGGGCTGTAACTCCCAGTAGGAGAGTCGACGTGAGCTGAGATTTGCAGGCTGAGACCAACTCTCAAGAAGAGACCTGTGAGCAGTGGCAGTCAAGTTTTAGGCATATGTGGAGGGGACTCTTTTATTAGGTAATAATTCCAAAAAGGTCAGCTAGAGCCAGGTTTGTAGGATCTTCAAGTGCCAGGGGGAGGATTCAGGACTCACCTTGGCAGCCCTGGTATCCCAATAGATAGGTCATGCCTAGGGACTAATGCCCATCCTGGCCACTGGTTGGGCTGCTGATTCGCAGGTGGCAATGGCAGCTTCCGAAATGGGAGCCAGAGCCTTCAACTAATAGTGAGGAGAGGAGTAAGTGTGGGGCCATTATCAGTTTAGCTTTTGGCCATCCCAGGTGCTGCTATTCATTTGGCGATTCAGCAGATGTTTATTGAGCACCAACTATGTGCCAGGCCCTGTGCTATGTGCTGAAGATGCTAAGATAAACAAGACAAGGTCAAGGACATTGCTCTTATAGAACTCTTACTTTAATGAGAGAGACAGCTAGCCCAAGAAACAAATAAGATTATTTCAGAGAATGGGTTAATTGCTGTACAGAAAATGAAGATGAGTAATGGAATATCTGGGGAAGCAACTCTATGCATGGGCCCACTCAGATACTCAGCTTTGACACCGTTGGGTCTAGTTGGTACCTTTGTTTCCTTTTGTGTTATAGATGGAGGTGATCTTTCAAATCTCCTCTGCAGAGATCCAATGGGATAATGGTGACTACCATTTATTGAGCACCTAGCCCATGTCAGGTACTCTACATGCATTTTCTCGTTTAATCCCCTCACCTAGACTCTGTGGTAAATGATCCATTAGCCCTACTTTCTTTTCCAGTAAAGAAACTCAGGTTTGGAGAGGTGAAGTTGCATGCCAGGGTCCTGCAGCTTTATATGGTGAATCCTGGATTTGAACCTAGATTGGGCTGGCTCTGAAGCCAGGCTTCTTTCCACTCTTCCACCCTTGGAATAAATGAAGGGTTGTTGATTGAATGTGCAGAAAGCTGCTTAGCAAAAGGAGAGTTGGAGAAGCATGTTGGTTTGAGGGTCTTGAAGGATACCTACTGTCCTCCCAACTGAGAGGACTCTTTCTTCTCATCTTCAGGAGGTTGCCTCCAGAGCCTGGGGTTACTGTAGGCCTTTGCCAGAGGCATGTTCGGACTTAGCCAGCTGAGTATCCCCTGTTTCCTGCTTTTACCATCTCAGCTGCTGGTCAGGAGGTTTGGGAAGGTGACATCATCTAGCTGAATCAGCTGCTGCTTCTAGATACATTACTGGAACTGAAAGTCATTACCCCTTCCTTCCTGCTCTGCAAGTCTCTTCAGAATGAGGCTGGAGTATGGGTGTTCCACCTGTCTGCAGGGTCATGGCTGGAACACTGCTTGCTGCTTTTAAAGAGCTAAAAGGTTTTTAAAAGCTTGCTCGTGGCAAAAGCTTTCCTCAAGTCTTCTCAAGCTAAGGGAACAGATTGTCCTTGAGAGGCAGGAGGATTCACAGGAAGGCCCTCCCCGACTCCCTCCCGTCCACCTACTTTTAGCCATGTGACCCTTCTGATCTCCTTTGCCTAAGTCCGAGGCTTAGGCCCAGCACTGCAGGATGGGTAAACAAAACGTTATTTGTGGACTTTTTGACCTTAAGACTTTTAGAGTCTGGTCAAGGGGACAAAAAAAACTGCTTACGTTTCAGAGCAGACCAGCCACCACACTATTGGATATCTATTGGAGATCTCCCCTTGACTCACTAATTGAAAAGCAAAAAAGGGCAGGTGTGGTGGCTCATGCCTGTAATCCGAGCACTTTAGGAGGCTGAGGCAGGCAGATTGCTTGAGCTCAGGAGTTTGAGACCAGCCTGGGCAACATAGCGAAACCCTGTCTCTACAAAAAAAAAATACAAAAATTAGCCAGGTGTGGTGGTGCACACCTATATTCCCAGCTACTCGGGAGGCTAAGATGGGAGAAACACTTGAGTCCAGGAGGTCAAGGTTGCAGTGATCCATGTTCATGCCACTATACTCCAGCCTAGGTGACAAAGTGAGACCGTCTTCAAAAAAAAAAAAAAAAGAAAAGAAAATTGTCTGGGTACAGTAGCTCATGCCTGTAATCCCAACACTTTGGGAGTCTGAGGTGGGAGGATCACTTGAGCCCAGGAATTCAACATCAGCCTGAGCAGTACAGTGTGACCTCCATCTCTATAAAAAATTTGTCAGGCATGGTGGCACATGCCTATAATCCTAGCTACTCAGAAGGCTAAGGTGGGAGGATCACTTGAGCCTGGGAGTTCATGGCTGCAGTGAGCTATGAACACATCTCACAGAACTCCAACCTGGGTGACAGAGCGAAATCCTGTCTCAGAAAAAAGAGTCATTGGAGGGTTTTGAACCAAAAATGACAGTCCGACATACATTTTTAAAGGATCACCAGGCTGGGCACGATGGTTGACCCCTGTAATCCCAGCACTTTGGGAGGCCGAGGGAGGTGAATCACTTGAGGTCAGAAGTTTAAGACTAGCCTGGCCAACATGGTGAAACCCCATCTCTACTAAAAATACAAAAATTAGCCAGGCTTGGTGGCGTGTGCCTGTCATCCCAGTTACTCGGGAGGCTGAGGCAGGAAAACTGCATAAGCCTGGGAGGTGAAGGTTGCAGTGAGATGAGATTGCGCCACTGCACTCCAGCCTGGGCAACAGAGTAAGACTCCATCTCAAAATAAATAAATAAACAAACAAACAAATAAATAAGGATCACCAGTAACTAGATAGATAACAGATTAGAGGAGGGCAAGGGCAAAAGCAGGGAGCTCAGGAAGGAGGCTGTTACTGTTGTCTAGGTGAGAGATGATGGCAGATGTGAGAGAGGGAATGAGTAATAGCTGTTCTCTCTTACATCCTACTTCCCAGCCTTTGCCCAGGCAATTTCTCCTGCCAAATAAGAAACAGCAACAGCACATGCTGGGGATTCTGTTCAGTGGTTTCCATTTACCAGTATAGCACCTCATTAATCCTCCCAACAGTTTGTTGAGGTGTGCTGCAGTGGTATCTACATTTTACAGAGAAGAAAACTGAGGCTTTGAGAGGTAAAGTCACCTGTTAGGCCGGGTGCGGTGGCTCACACTTGTAATTCCAGCATTTTGGGAGGCCGAGGCGAGTGGATCATGAGGTCAGGAGTTTGAGACCATCCTGGCTAACACGGTGAAACCCCGTCTCTACTAAAAATGCAAAAAATTAGCCAGGCATGGTGGTGGGCACCTGTAGTCCCAGCTACTTGGGAGGCTGAGGCAGGAGAATGGCGTGAACCCGGGATTGGTTGCAGGTTGCAGTGAGCCGAGATTGTGCCGCTGCACTCCAGCCTGGGTGACAGAGCAAGACTCCGTCTTTTAAAAAAAAAAAAAAAAAAAAAAAGGTCACCTGTTAAAAGATTACACAGCTAACTGCCAGCATCCAAAGCCTGTCCTCTTCCCTCTTCCATTTGAATAGGCTCCTTCCAGCCAACATTCATGTATGTCCTATCCGGGCTCCAAAGTCCAGTACCAAGCCAGTCTTTTCCAGGAAGGCTTCCCCAAGCTTATCTAATGGCCTGTCCCTCTATTGAGAACTGATCTACAGAGCTACCATCCATTGAGCACTCCATGGGTGCTAAGTATACTGCTGAATGATTTAAATATGTTATCTCATGTAATATTCCAAGGAGCCATATACCCTGTGACATCCATTTTACATGTGAAAATAGTGAAGCTAAAAGATACACATGTGCCATCATGTCTAGCTAAGTTTTTTGTTGTTGTTATTGTTGTTTGAGGTAGAGTCTTGCTCTGTTGCCCAGGCTGGAGTGCAGTGGCGTGATCTCAGCTCACTGCAGCCTCCGCCTTCTGGATTCAAGTGATTGTCCTGCTTCAGCCTCCCGAGTAGCTGGGATTACAGGCACTCGCCACCATGCCCAGCTAGTTTTTGTATTTTTGGTAGAAACGGGGTTTGACCACGTTGGCCAGGCTGGTCTCAAACTCCTGACCTCAAATAATCCACCTGCCTCTGCTTCCCAAAGTGCCTGGCTGACTAGCTTATTTTAATTTTTAGTAGAGACAAGGTCTCACTGTGTTGTCCAGGCTGGTCTTGAACTCCTGGGCTCAAGCAGTGCTCCCACCTTGACGTCCCAAAGTGCTGTGATTACAGGCGTTAGCCAGCAATGCCTGGCCTCTAATGACACTTTATTCATGAGAATAAATGCCAAAATGTATACAGTGCATCGGCAGACGACTGGGAGACCTTGGTAGGCCAGCAGTGGCAAACACAGTCACCTAGAAATAAATGCCCCAGAGTTCACTGAACCTGGGTTTCAACTGCCCAGGCTTACTCCTTCTCAAAACCAGCCCTGTTCCAGCTTTGTGTCCCTGTGTGTGTGCATGGGTACATGCACAAGTAGATGACACAGTGGTGATGCTATGCACCCAGGACATTTCATAATAGGAAAGGATGTTGACCACTGCCATGGGGTACCAAAGGTCATCAGGGCTGAGAAAGCCAAGGACACGCAGGCAGCCTTGCTCCCATTTGAGTCTGAGTCATTTCCTGAGGAATAATGGTCATTCATTCATTTGTTCATTAACAAGTATTTATGGAGTTCCTGCCATATATCAGGGACTGAGCTAAAGGTTGGACATACAGTCTGAATAAACCAAAGTCCCTGTTCTCACCCAGTGGACATTACAATGTGGGTGACAGATTCTAAGTAAATTAACATGTCAGGGCTAGGCATGGTGGCTCTTGCCTGTAATTCTAGCACTTTGGGAAGCTGAGGTGGGAGTATTGCTTGAGCCCAGGAGTTCGAGACCAACCTGGGCAACATAGTGACGCCCCACCTCTAAAAAATAAATAACATGTGAGGTAGTATTTAGGGCTATAGGAAAAAATAAAGCAGGGAAAAGGGATTAGGGATGGGAAAAGGAAGGGTAGGGTAGTTAGGAAGGCTTCTCTGATAAAGTGACATTGGATCTGAATGCAGTGAGGGCATGATCTGTGCAGATATTTGGGGAATAGTGTTGTAGGCGTAGAGAACAGCAAGTTGTAAAACAAAAAACTAGGTGCAGTGACTCACGCCTGTAATCCCAACACTTTGGGAGGCCAAGGTGGGAGGATCACTTGATGCTGAGAGTTTGAGATCAGCCAGAGTGACAAAGCCAGAGTTTAGCTGGGCATAGTGGTACATGTCTGTAGTCCTAGCTACTCGGGACACTGAGGCAGGAAGATGGCTTAAATCCAGGAGTTTGAGGCTGCAGTGAGCTATGATCCTGTCACTCTAGTCTGGGTGACAGAGCAAGACCCTGTTTCAAAAAAATTTAAAAAGCAAGTACAGAAAAAGACTCTCCAACATATTAAAGTACAGCAAGATGGCCAGTGTGACCAGAGTAGAGTAAGCCAGTGGTAGGAATCAGGTCTGAGATGTCACCAGGGGCCAAGTCTTGCAGGGCCACATGGGACCTTGCTTTAAGGGCAGTGGAAAGGCATGGAGGATTTTTAAGCAAAGAAGTGACAGGTTTTAGAAGGATCTCTCTGGTGTGGAGGACAAACTCTATGGGTAAGAGCGGGAGCAGGAAACCAGTGAGAAGCCAGGTGGGTGATAACAGCAGTTTATACCAGGGTAGAGGGGTGGTGGAAGTGGCAAGCAGTGGTCAGAGCTTGGATATAATTTGAAGGTTGGACCAACTGGATTTGCTGATGATTGCTGGATAAGAGATAAGAGAGAGAGAAGATTCCAGGTTTTTGGCTTAAGAAACTGGAAAGTCCTTACTGCCATTTAATAAGGGGAAGATGCCTTGACTAATAGTGATTTCCTGCGAGGGCTGTGGAGTTGAACTGCCTGCATTCAAGTCCTAGTTTGCTTACTGTTTTGTTTTTGTTGTTGTTTTGAGGTGAGGTCTCACTATGTTGCCTATGCTTGTCTCAAACTCCTGGGCTCAAGTGATCCTCCCGCCTCAGTCTTCCTGGGATTATAGGTGCACCACCAGGCCCTGCTTACTGTTTGACTTTGGGTAAGTGTTTAACTTTACCAAGCCTTAGTTTCCTTCAATGTAAACCTACCGTCTAGATGATAGGCAGTTGGGTGCTGTGAAAACTAAATGGGGGTAATTTGTATGAAGGGGTTAGGACAATGCCTGGCATATGGTAAACCTTCAGTAAGAGTTAGCTCTAATCCTTATTACTATTGTTGGAAAGCAAGAAGTCCCAGGGCCTCAAGGTCCTCTGGAAAGCAGGCAGCAGGTCGCACTCCACCTCCACCACCCCTTCAAGGAGCCCACCCTCCAAGAGGCAGCTCAGACACCATCTGTCCAGCAGAGAAAAGCCACAGGGAGACAGCTTTCGGGGAGCATTAGATAGATGAGCCCTTCCCAAGAAACTTAATCTCATTCTCAGCAGGTGCTAATCCCACCACCCTCCCTTGGTATCTGAGCCCAGCCCACCCACTTCCTTCCCCACCCCCATCCTGTGTCCTAGACCCTCTTCCCCTTCTCACCAGCTCCAAGCTGCCACCAGCAAACTTCCTTACCAGATGGAGGGGCTCTGACAGGAGCCCACCACCCATCTGACTGGGCCCAGCCTCTCACACGTATCAGGTCACCAAGGGCTACAGGTGCCACCTGTCCAGAAGCCCCCCCTACAGGTGCCAGTTCCTGGGCGTGGTGCTCCATCCAGGCTGGAGCCAGCTGGAGCCAGGAACTCCCACTGTGCCCCAGCTGCTGCCTGCCCTCCCACCCACAGGCAGAGAAACAGGCTTAACCCTTCGGACACTGCGTATGTTAAGTTAGTGGTTACAGTTCTGGCTCAGAGTATTGCACTGTTTCAGTACACTTTTTTTTTTTTTTAAGAAATTTATCATAAATACAACAGAGAATATCTAATGCATATGTACAATTTCAAAAATAGGAAAATCATCACCTGTAAACTCATCACCCAGTTTAATAAATAATCAAGCATATGTCTGCCTTACATGATGGCTTATGCCTGTAATCCCAGCACTTGGGAGGCTGGGGTAGGAGGATTGCTTCAGGCCAGAAGTTTGAGACCAGCCTGGGCACCATAGTGAGACCACTGTCTCTACAAAAACTAAAATTAAAAAATAGCTAGGCATGGTGGTGCACACCTATAACTCCAGCTTCTCAGAAGGTTGAGTTGGGAATCACCTGAGCCCAGGAGTTTAAGGCTGCAGTAAGCTATGATCGTGCCACTGTACTCCAGTGTGGGCAACAGAGGGAGACCTCGTCTCTAAAAACAAACAAAAATAAATGTGAGTACCTTAGAGCCCCTTGTGTACCCTTCTGCAATCACAGCTACCCCACCATCCATACTCCTGAGTTGTGTTTTGTTTTGTGATACCTCACCATGTCAACCAGGCTAGAGTGCAGTAGCATGATCATACCTCACTTCAGCCTCAAACCCTTGGGCTCAAGTGAGCCTCCTGCCTCAGCTTCCAAAGTAGCTCATTTTTGAATTTTTTTTTTTTTTTTTAAGAGATGGGGGTCTGACTATGTTGCCTGGGCTGGTCTAGAACTCCTGGCTTCAAGTGATCCTCCTACCTCAGCCTTTCAAAGCACTGGGATGATTACAGGTGTGAGCCACCACACCTGGCTGCCTTTTTTTTTTTTTTCTTAAATTTTACTATATATATGTAGGTATATATTTCTGAACAATACAGGATATTCTTCTACATGCTTTTTTTTGTTTTTGTTTTTGAGACAGTCTCACTTTCTTGCCCAGGCTGGAGTGCAGTGGTACGACCTCAGCTCACTGCAACCTCCGCCTCCCGGGTTCAAGCGATTCTTCTGCCTCAGTCTCCCAAGTAGCTGGGACTACAGGTGCACACCACCACGCCTGACTAATTTTTTTTTTTTTTTTTTTTTTTTTGAGACGGAGTCTCACTCTGTCGCCCAGGCTATAGTGCAGTGGCGCTATCTCGGCTTACTGCAACCTCTGCAGCCCAGGTTCAAGCGATTCTCCTGCCTCAGATTCCCGAGTAGCTGGGATTACAGGTGCCTGCCACCATGCCTGGCTAATTTTTGTAGTTTTAGTAGAGATGGAGTTTCACCATCTTGGCCAGGCTGGTGTTGAACTCCTGACCTCGTGATCCACCAGCCTCAGCCTCCCAAAGTGCTGGGATTACAGGCGTGAGCCACTGCGCCCAGCCTCTGCATACTTTTAAACTTCATTTAGGTATTATTCTGTTTATGGTCTGCAGTTTTCCTTTTTTCATTCAAGGTTGAGATCCATGTTACTTGCATAGCATAATTTGTTCATTTTCATATCCCTTTTTTATGATTATATCTCAAGCTGTGTATACATTCTGCTGTCAGTGGTTATTTGGGTTGTTCCCAAATAACCAAATAACAAATAGCTTGTTTTTGCTATTTCAGACAATGCTGTTATGAAAACTGTTTGTGTCTCCTGCACATGCACATGTTCAAGAGTTTCTCCCAGCCAGTGGTTCCCAAACTTTAGCTGCCCATCAGAATCACCTGGAAGGTTTGTTAAACCTCAGATTGCTGGGCTCCACCCCCAAAGTGTTTGATTATGTATGTCAGGGTTGGGGCCCTCAGAATTTGCAATTCTAACAACTTCTCAGCTGATGCTGCCGCTCTTGGTCCTGGGACCTCACTGAGAATCCTTGTAGGGTTTACACAGAAGTGGAATTGCTTGATCAGAAGGTAATGGCAGATTGTTTTCCTGTGTTTGTTTGAATTTACACAGCCACTAACAGCATATGGGTTTTCCATTACTTTACCTCTTTGTTAATACTTGATATGGTCAGACTTAAATTTTTATGGAGCTGGTGGGTGTGAGATGGTATCTTGTGGTTTTAATTTGCTTTTCTCAGATTACAAGTGGGGCTGTGAATCTTTTCTTACATCTGTTGGCCATTCATGTTTCCTCTTTGTAAAATGTTCAAGTCCTTGCTCCATTTCCTTTTGATTTGACTTTTTCTTAGGGTTTGTAGGCTTTTAAAATATATTTTGAATACTGTACTTTTGTCTCTGGCATGTTACAAATATAGTTTTTTCCAGTTCTCCTGCCTCAGCCTCTTGAGTAGCTAGGATTAATTTGTTCGCCGGGCTTCACTGTACCCTCGGCCTGGTTTTATTTTATTTTATTTTTATTTTATTTTTATTTTATTTTTATTTTGAGACAGAGTCTCATTGTCTCCCAGGCTGGAGTACGGTGGCACGGTCTTGGCTCACTGGCAACCTCTGCCTCCGGGTTCAAATGATTCTCCTGCCTCAGCCTTTTCGAGAAGCTGGAATTACAGGCATGCACCACACACCCATCTAATTTTTGTATTTCAGTAGAGACAGAGGTTTCACCATGTTGGCCAGGCTGGTCTCGAACTCACTGACCTCAGGGTGATCCACCCGCCTCGCCTCCAAAGTGCTTGGGATTACAGGCGTGAGCCACTGTGCCCGGCCTACTGTATTGAATTTTCCATAATGAACGAAGGTACCCCCTTTGGGAAAAGTGGGGCTTTTTTTCCTTTATTTTTTTTTTTTTTTTTTTTTTTTTGAGACGGAGTCTCGCTCTGTCGCCCAGGCTGGAGTGCAGTGGCCGGTCCTCAGCTCACTGACAACGGCCACCTCCCGGGTTCACGGCCGATTTCTCCTGCCTTCGACCTTCCCGGAGTAGCTGGGACTTTAACAGGGCGGCCCGGCCAACCCGGCATGGCCCCGGCTAGTTTTTTTGTTATTTTTTTCGTAGGAGGACGGGGTTTCACCGTGTTAGGCCAGGATGTGTCTCGCGATCTCCTGACCTCGTGATCCACCCCATTTTCTCGGGCCTTCCCAAAGTGGCTGGGATTACCCAGCGTGACTGCCACCGCGCCCGGCTCCTTTATTCTTTTTTAACTTTTCAATCAATTCTCAAAGCCAGCATGTGAGAGAGAGTTTATCAAATCTTAGCCAGGCATGGTGGCGCACGCCTGTAATCCCAGCTTCTTAGGAGGCTGAGACATGAGAATCGCTTGAACTCAGGAGATGGAGGTTGCAGTGAGCTGAGATCATACCATTGCGCTCCAGGCTGGGCAGCAGAGAGAGACTCTGTCTAAAAACACAGAGAACTTCATACTGACCTGTGTGTGGGATTTGCTTCAAAATAATACCCAAGTGAGAGAGGTAGTGGTTGGGGAACAGATGAAATCAGATTGGCACCAAGTTGATACTTGTTGAAGTTGAATGATGGGTTTGTTTTATTCTGTCTACTTTTGTACATGATTAAATATACTCATAAGAATAAGTTTAAAATTGGCCAGGCACAGTAACTCACACCTGTAATCCTAGCAGTTTGGGAGGCTGAGGTGGAATGATTGCTTGAGCCCAGGAGTTTGAGATCAGCCTGGACAACATAGTGAGACCCTGTCTCTCTCAAAAAAAACAAAAAAAAAAATTAGTCGTTTGTGGTGGTACACATCTGTAATCCTACCTACTTGAGAGAATCTCTTGAGTCCGGGAGGTTGAAGCTGCAGTGAGTCATGATTGTGCCACTGCACTCCAGCCTGGATGACAGAGTGAGACCCTGTCACGGGGGGAGGAAAAAGTTAAAAATATCCAAGGACTATTTCCAGGGTTACTTGTGAGGTAGAACATCTTTTCGTAACGTTTTATTAGCCATTTGTATTCTTTCAGAGCCAATTTAGTCTCTGTCTACTTTCAGGAGTTCCTGATAAAGTGGTCTTAGCAGGCATGGAAGAGACTGATTTTAAATAAAACAGGAGAGGGATTGGTAAGGAAAGACTGGGGAGGGGATTTTCAGGCCATTGCCAGCCCTTCTCCTAGAGCCTGACTACTACTACTTCCTCTAGGATTAAGTTTCCTGCCTTCCCTTTTTTCTTCCAGGACCACCATGGGATAATTTTTATTTTCTTTCTTTCTTTCTTTTTTTTTTTTTTTTTTTTGTAGAGACAGGATCTCACTATGTCTCCCAGGCTGGTTTCGAACTCCTAGGCTCCAGCAATCCACCCGCCTCAGCCTCCTAAAGTGTTAGTAGGATTACAGGCATGAGCCACTGCACCCAGCTTTCTTCCTTCCTTTCCTCCCTCTTCCCTCCCCTTTCCTCCACCTCCCTCCCTCTCTCTCTCCCTCTCCCCTCCCCTCCCCTCCCCTTCCCATTTCTTCCTTTCCTTTTCTTCTTTAATTTTAGAGACAGGGTCTTGCTGTATTGCCCAGGCTAGTCCTGAACTCCTGGCCTCAAGCAATCCTCCTGCCTCGGCCTCCCAACGTGCTGATATTACAGGTATGAGCCACTGTGCCCAGCCAATTTTTATTTTAATGGTATTCTTCTTTCCCTATTGTTTTACCTGGACAGACTTAACCCAGAGGATAGAGGAACCTCATCATGGATCCTGGTCTGCTTTTAGCTTAACAGCATCCAAAGACAAGGGGTCAGAGATGGCAGCAACCCTAGTGTGGTCGATACAAATAGTGGTGTTATTTTGTTGTCATAGGATGCAAATATCAGAGTTGTATCTCTTAAGATCTTTCTGTGTCAGTACATAAAAGCTTTCTCAGTCTTTTTAATGCTGCATGGTATTCTACACAGGGCACTATTCTATACTTTAACCAGTTCCGATTGGTAGAGACATTTTTTTCCCCAGTCTTTTGGAGTTATAATAGTGACACTCAATGACTAGCCCTGTATATTTGTCATTTGGCCCATATATGAATACAGTATATCTGGGGGGGATGAATCCCTAAAAGTGGAATTACTGGGGCAAAGGGTATGTGTACTTGGGATTTTAGTAGGGTTAGTTAGCCTGGGCCCATAGCAGTGGGTACCAGTTTACAGGAGTATCTTTTTTCTGAACAGCCTTCCACCCAAGTATAGAGTTTGGTTCAGCACATTTCTTTTTCTTTTTCTTTTTTTCTTTTTTGGAGACAGAGTCTCGCTCTGTCACCCAGGCTGGAGTGCAGTGGCACAATCTTGGCTCTCTGCAACCTCTACCTCTTGGGTTTAGGCAGTTCTCCTGCCTCAGCCTCCCAAGTAGCTGGGACTACAGGTGCCCACCACCTTGCCGGGCTAATTTTTGTATTTTTAGTAGAGACGGGGTTTCGCTATGTTGGCCAGGCTGGTCTCAAATTCCAGACCTCAGGTGATCCGCCCGCCTCAGCCTATCAAATTGCTGGGATTTACAGGTGTGAGCCACGGCGCCAGCCATCAGCACATTTCTTGAGTGCCTTCCTGTACCTGGCACTGGATATAAGGTAAACACTTTCATGTATCAAGTGAAATTGTTACTGTTTGCCAGGCACAGGCACATTACATGATAATTCTCATAACCACTCAAAGAGGAAGGCTTTTAGATGAGAAAAGTGAAGCTCAGAAGGGTTAAACAAGGTGCCATGGTAATGGTCCAGCTATTAAGTGGCAGAGCTAGGATTAAGCCCAGGTTTCAATCCTCTGACGCCTGTGCTCTTATGGTACACCCTTACCTGCCTCTCAGGAGGAAAAACATACGGTCTTATTATCTAATACAGGAATCAGGCTCAGAAAGGGTAACTGGCCACAAAACACCCAGCATGGAAGCTATGAGGAACCCACATATGTCTGATCAGAGGCCTCTGGTCTACACTGAGCTGCCTGCCTCCCTCCCAGGGAAACAGTTTGAGAATTTTCTTTTTTTCTTTTCTTTTTTTTTTTTTGACATGGAGTCTCGTTCTGTCACAAAGCTGGAGTGCAGTGGCCATCTTGGCTCACTGCAACCTCCGACTCCCAGGTTCAAGCGATTCTCCTGCCTCAGCCTCCCGAGTAGCTGGGATTACAGGCACGTGCCACCACACACAGCTAATTTTTCTGTATTTTTAGTACAGACAAGGTTTCACCGTATTGGCCAGGATGGTCTTGATCTCCTGACCTCATGATCCGCCTGCCTCGGCCTCCCAAAGTGCTGGGATTACAGGCGTGAGCCACCGTGCCCAGCCGAGATTTTCTCCATTCAGAGCTTCACTTGCTATAGAGAGCCTCAAGTCACTGGTTCTCAGTGTGCATCTACTGGCCATCAGAAGGTCCTTTACGGGTGATCCATCTGTGCTTAATCTACTAATGACAGTATAGTTGCTGCTATTTATTGAGTGCCTGCCATGTGCAAGATGCTGTAAGGCACACTGTAGTTTGTTTTGTTTTGTTTTGTTTTTGTAGAGATGGAGATCTTATTGTCTTGACCAGGTTGGTCTCAAACTCCTGGCTTCAAATGATCCTCCTTCCTAGGCCTCCCAAAATTCTGGGATTACAGGTGTGAGCCACCATACTTGGCCAATGTGGTATTTTTAATCTTCACAATAATCCTTCTTGGGAAACATGTTATTGTCCTCATTGTCCAGATTGGAAAACTGAGTGTAAAGTAAGTTAAATTATAGTCCTAATGTCGAATGATAATAAGGACAGAATACAAATCCAATATATTGGACTCAAAAGCCCTCACTTAACTATGGTCTCCATGGGCTTCCCTTGGCTCTCTCTGCCTTTTTTTTACTTTTCCTTATTGTTTGAGGCCCTTTCTGGAAGGTAAGTCTGGATTCTCTACTTCACACTGTTTTAAAGAAGACTTGTAGTTTCCATTTACCCCTTACTCCCTACCTGTACTCCTAGTACTTAGCACAGAGTAGCCAAAGAGTGGGCAGCCACATGATGCCTGAAGATTGGTGACTGATTATCGGATATGGCCCACACTGTTACCACTTCAAAAAGGACCCATTTCCCACGCGTATAATAGGTGCTCTTCGAACACCTGTCATGTGCTCACTGTGGCAGTGGGAGAGAAGTCTAAAGTACAAGCCTAGCTCTCAACAACTTAAATCATGAAGCTGAAAGTGTCAAAGTAAATGGAAAAGACTATAAGGGTTAGAGAAATTCAGAGGAGAAAGGAGGCATGACATAATTTAAATAGCTAGCAAACATGCATTGAGCATTATGAGATAGGTCTTATGTCCATTTTATAAACATGGATCCTGAGACTCAAGAGTTTAAGTCATCATCCCAGAGGTGCACAACAAATAAGTGATAAAGTTGGCACTCTGAACCCCTCCACTCCATGGCCTTTCAGGGAGAGCACTTGGGTATCGTGCTGGGTGGCCTGGAGGTTCCAAGTAACGGGAACCTAGAAGGATGGACCGGATGTGAACAAAAGAAAGCCTGAGTAGGACACAAGACAAAGAAGTGGGGCTGTAACATCTCTAAGATATTACAGCTTGCTACTTCCACTCTTTTTTCAAATATGGTGAAACCCAGGCTGGAGTCATAAAATAATAGCGTAGGATCATTAACGTCCCTGTCTTCATAAAATAAGAGTTTTAAACACACATGAGGGCCTGGCATATACAAAACATTGAATAAAGAGCAGTGATCTTTTTATTGACATCAGAAGGGGGTTGGGGACCCAGAGGCTATTCCGGCTCCTATGGCATAGCTCTTGGAACCTGTTGATTTTCAAGGACAGGGGTTTGCAAGTCAGAGCAACAAGTAAAGAACAGGTTCTTTGGGAGGCCAGGATATGCTAATGGATGAACAATGTAATGGAGGCATAAAAATAATGCCAAAGGCCTGCTAGAGTCCCTGTTTCACTGCACTTTTGGGTCTTTGGCTTATATATGAAGAAAATAAGGTGCCCCCAGAGGGGAAGTGAGTTGCCATTGTTACACAGTAAGTTAATAAATGGCATTGCTGAGATTAGAACTCAGTCTTTTGTCTGCCAAAAAAGCTTACTTTTCCCTTACACTCCACTGCTCCCTTGAGGGGAAAAAAAAGGCCGGGGGGATAGGGTCTTAGTGCTTTGGAGCTGGAGAGAAAGGCTTAGAGATCATCTGATCCATCCTCCACACTGGTCAGATGAGAAAAGTGAGGCCCATAGTGCTTAATTGACAAGACCATAGCCAAATAGAGCCACCACAAAGCAGGAGTAAGCTCATGTTTCTTGAACCTGACCATGTGGAACTTTCAAATTGCCTATTTTCTGTGGGGAACTAGAGGCTCACTGCAAATG